GTGAAAAAGTGGAAGCCTTTTGTAAGTAGTCGGTGAGTGGTGTCATGTCCATCAGTCCATACGTAGAATAAGTGTGAATTGAGTTGTCGATGGAGGATTACCTTTTCCGGAGCAGCGATGTGAATCAACGAGTTTCACCAAGTATTGAGAGTTGTGTCATGGAAATCACCCTCTACGACACATGCTATTACAACGTGTGCTATTAATATGAAAATCTCCTCAATTATTGTAGCTTGTGATTCCTCATCCAGGGTAAAAGAGATTGTGCCCCGTATCAAAAGAACTTGATGATTACAAAATGTTCCATGCGGTAGGAATTCCCCATCTTTATGATGATATGAGTTCATTGCACCACGGTCGAAGTACAACATTTTGTCCAACACTTTGCAAAGGAGACTTATTCCAGCTACGGTCTCTACCTTCTGCGATGTGTTACCATGGCAGTGGACCTCTATAGAACTTCTCTATAACTCCGACTGGACGCGGCCATGATGCCCTAATTCTAACTCTCCTAATCCGGGTCGAATCTAACCAAGAAGCTACTCAAACTACTCACCATTGTGATGCGTTTAAGAATTTGGTTCCAAAAATTGCAACCCTATCTTACTGCGAGTAGAATGATTGTCACAAGGAATGCGTCCCAACGCGCACATCCGCCATCTCTAGCCCTCTTTAGTGCAAAATTTCACATTTGTTCCACAAAAGCACATTTTTCACACTCGAATCGAACCAAGAAGCTACTCAAACTGCTCGCCATTGTGATGCGTTGAAGAATACAGGTTTAAACATCGTAACCCTGTCTTAATGCGAGTAGGGTGGTCGTCTGTAACCATCTTTAATTAGTTAGAACTAAAGAAGAGGTTACTCTAAATATTGATGTAGATACTTTAGTGTGCACTAGTCATAGCTGCCACGTCAGCAATCCGCGCACTTGGTAGGTACAGAGTGGATGTGTTAGTTGAGAGTGCCACGTCAGCAATCCGTGTGCTTGTAGGTAAGGATTGAGTGTGTTAGTTAGTGTGTTAGTTGGGTGCGCCACGTCAGCGATCCGTGTGCTTGTTAGGGTTATCCGCCACGTCATCCATCCACTAGGAGTGGAATGGATGGTGGGGATTAGATCTTATCACCTTGTACTTGTTGGTGAGAGCTATATGAGGGAGAGGAGAACCATTGTTGGTATCTCTCATCTTTAGAGTTTACGTTTCTATCTTCGAGTGAACTTGTCTCTAAATCCTAGTGTTACACTAGCTGCTCAGATCTTGTGAGAAAGAGTGAAAAGGAGTGACAATAACCTCTGAAAAGAAAATACTCAAATTGAATCCAAACAATCTTGATGAACTTCGACAAGAATTTGAGGTACAAACTGTTCAATTCACTTTTGTTCATACTCCGATATGGGTGTTGAAATCTTCAACGGACACCATGAGGATAGAAATGCAAGAGAGTTCAAGTGTGATGCTTCATATTTTTGAAACCCTCACGGATGTTGAGACCAAGACCACATGGTTAACAACTGTTTTCAAGAGCCCAAGATTACATGAAGTGGTAGACACATTAGAGTTGAAACTCAAGTTGTATGCCAATACTACAAAGATTGCAAATATTTCATTCTATCAAGAACAATAGATTGAAAATCCAAATCAATATTCACGTAAGAAAAATATTATGACATTTGGTTTCAAAAAAACAGAAAATGAAGATGTGAAGACTTTTGTCATCAAATTATCAGTTGACACAATATATGTTCACAATCCAAATTTGGCCGATGCTTTTTGTATCGGAAAAACCGGCACACAACCTCGGACCATTCTTGTTAAAGTTGTCAACCAACTTTAATGTGATACGGCCATGGCTAACAAATCTATTTTGAAAGGACAAAGAATATGGTTGGATTCCAATCTTACTCCATTACAAGTGGAAGCTAGGAGAAAGTAATTTGAAAAGGTCAAGGAGTCTCAAATGTTAGGTTTTGTTGCTTATTTGCTCGATGGTAGAGCGATTGTTATCCAGAAGATAAAAAAGTCATATACTTAGCAATCGAGGTTGTTGATGTGGAATATTTAAGTATTGTCATCATCAAAGTACATGAGTGCCGATTCAATCTAGGAGAAGTAAGGTATCATCAACATCGTGGAGACTTGGAATTACGAAAGTAACAATATTGCTGAGCTGCAAGGATTCACTTTGATGGTATCAACATGAAACTAGAGAACACAACACGCAAGAAGAGGACATGAAGCTATTGCTACTTTGATCAGATCTAAACTTCTATATGTCATTCATTTATAAGCTCAAGATATAGGAGGTCAATGTCATTGGTTACGTCTTGTGCTTCGAGTATCTCATTGATATCTAGCAATTTGTTATTTTGCGCCATTATCCATGTACATCTACTCCACTTGTTTTTGCAACCGAAGTCAACCATTTCATCGGCTCATTGTACATGTAGCCAAATATCAAAGCAAAGGAGATGTCATCCTAGTTGAATACTTCAATGCTTGCATATGTTCTACCCAATTCACTGAATTCAGTAGCTCTTTGACCTCTTCTACTTTGGAAGAAATTGATGATAGTCAATGGTGTAGACTCTCTTACGTTCCTTCTACAAACGATTTAACAAAACATTTTTTTGATTTTTGGAGACACTTGTAAGTTGAAAGTCGTTAATGAAATACCTTGCTTTTTCAACTCTCCATTGATTACATGTTTCTACGCTTTCCATGCTAACATGGTAGATTTTCTTCTATCCTCCTAAGTTTGTGGTTTTCTTATCTCTACTTTCAATGTTTCTAATCCTCAATCCAAGTCCGATCATGCAATTCTCTTGTTTATGGTATCAATATAAAAAACGAATACTCCCTCAATCAACCAACCTTTTCTATCTTTTCTTAGTTTTGGCTTGCTACCTTGTAAAAAAGATCTTTATGCTACACATTTACAATATCTCTTAAAACACACAAATTGTAGTCAAGACCCACATAGAGCTAGTTTGCAATTCATAGAAATACTCAAACACTCTGCGTCTAAATTTTTTCTACGGTATAACAACAACAAAACTATGAGATTGCCTTGTAATGGGTGGTGTGACTCTGATTGCAAGTAATTTTTCTTGAAATGATCATATTGATCATAAAAAATATAGATTACAATGTATGATTGACTGAAGTTTATTTTTGTAAATATTTAAATGTTTTTGTCAATTTTGATTAGTGTAAACTTCATTCATAAATATAAAAGTAACTTCTCATTATATGACACTTGTTTGTAGTTCTTTATGACACAAACTTAAATCATTTCATTAAAAGTATTTTGTTGTCATGGATGTAGTATATAAATCATATATATATATTTTGTTTTTTGGGTTTTGCATTTTTTTGATAATAATTAGCATCAATTATTTATGATTATCATCAAAATGATATATTCATCAAATTATGAATTCTTTGCAATGAAAAAATGAATTTCGTTAAGATTGATTTTTGAAGATTGGCGGCTTGAACTCTATATATAATTTTAGGCCAATTTTTATTTAAACATTAAAATATAGTAATCTTTTATTCAAAAAAATTCAATATATTGAAAAATTCAAAAAATATTACAAAAGTCATATTTTATTAGAATTCAAATAACAACACAACATTTTTGTAGTATCTTTGTTGTTTAAAAGTATTGAGTATGTGTAAATATATGCAAGTCAAATGTAATGTTAATATGAATGCAAAAGTTTGTAGCATGTATGTTTTCACTTTAATATCAATAACATTTTAAATTTTAAATTTTTGTGTTATTGTATGCATGATGAATAAAACTCTCAATAATTTCTAAAAATTTACTGTATTATTTCAAAATTATTTTTTTTTCATGTTTTCAAGAGGTTATCATTTTTAAAAAAAATTTAAAAGAATTAATCTATATCAAATTTATTTCATATTGTGATATTTATCAAATATAACATAAATTATAAATAATATTTATTTTTCCAATTTGAAATTGTCAAATATCATGACAGAATATTATGAATATTGATGTATAACATTCATGCTATTTTATCATTTTTTCTAAATTCACTTGCAGATGAATTAACTGCAAATAATAAATAATTTCAATTATCAATTTCAGGTGATTATTTTATATTACATATAATATATGTGACAATAGAAAAACATAAAAATTGCAGTTCATTCAATGATAACAAATCTTAATAAGATTGAATTATTTGATGATGTTATATGTTTTGTTTTGTATGATGATCATCAAGATTATATATAATATGAGGTTTATAAGCTATTTCATTTTTTATCTAATTAATAGATGTGAGTCATCAATATTTAGTTCTTAAAACATTGTAACCAAGCCGCCATGTTCATTTGATAATGTAAATTATAGCTAATGAGTATTGAGTTTTTATTCTATATCTTTTTATTTATAAACTTAATTTGTGAGGAAAAATAAGTTTCATTGTGTAATCTCATTGTTAAATTTCATGAGAAAAAAATAATCTGACTTCTTGAATTCAGAATTTTCTTTTATCATAAAAAATAAGAGCTCCAATAGGTGAATAATTATTTTATAACAGAAATTTAATTACAAATAAAGATCTCTTCTCCAGCAATGAATAAAATCACCTCTCCAACATACATTACTCATCAAAACTAACCAATATCTTGAATATAGTTTGTGTTTAGTAGTTGTTTCTTTTAAACAAATATTATCTTCAAATTATTATTAGTTTCTGGAAAGTCAAATCTATATGAAGTTTTAAAAATTCTATTAGTTTTGGTTTGATGATATGATTTGATTCAACAAGTTTGTTAGGATTTGTAAAAAAACACATAGAATTGTTCTCTTAGATTTACAAACAAGAAATAAATATCTTTGCATGAAAGTTATTAGTCATAAACTTAAGAGATTTCCCGAGTTACAGAGGAAAAACATACTGAAATGTTCTCATCTGCTATGAGTGAAGAATTGCGATGGAAGGTTTTGTCGCTATAATGGCATAAATCGCTCTTTTTCGTTGGATTTGGCAAAAAGGTGACAAAGGTGTTCGATTTCGATCTGGAATCGCACATTCAAGCAAAGGAAAAGAGTCGTCTTTCTGTCTGAAGGACATACGGAACCCATCGGATCGTTCCCATGTCGTAATTGTCCTTTGACTTGCTAATGTCACACTTTTTCTTCAAGTAACAGCATCTGTGTCGATGGTAGAGTGCCAGGACATTGACGACTCTCCTGTTGCACAAGTCTGTGAACATCTCATGATGTCACAGATGGTATCGATTTGAGTTGTTCGACGAGGAAGTTGGTCGAAATCGAACCTTCTGTACAACAGAATTGTCGCGACTTGCGTGCATAGCAGAGACAATGCAAGGAGGCGCGGCTCAGCATGCCAGTGCTTATGGTGTTAAGTATCAGGTATGCGTCTTATGCTTCTCATAACTTTTCATGTTTTCTGCGCTGGCATGTTCAGCTTTGTAATTTCTTCTTGGGGCTGGATTTGATATTGTAATTAAGGTGAGCTGCAATTACGTTTTGCAGAGGCACATTTCTTCCTAGCTTGAATTTCCTAGCTTTGATCAGTTGATCAGTCATCATTCACACTCTTTTCCACTAATTGTTTCGAAAGGGTGACCCTCTGACAAGATACTGTGGCGAAGTTGAGGATTACATAAATTGCAGTGAATGGATTTCGCCTTACGCCTGAGGCAAAATCACAAGAACAGAAGTTTTTGTCATTTAAAGTGAACACTTTTGCCTTTTGGTTCATAGATCTGTGCTTGAATTGCAGATCTGACGTTGGAATCAACCTTAATTTCATCCTTCGAGACATTGACGTTGATCGTAATGTGCAGGCTAGATGCATTGCTCCTTACGTTGCAGATCCGCAGCGTACGCGGTTTCTTGTCGGCACGCAAAGTCTTCGAGAAGAAAATGAGGTCAATACTTAATGTGGGCTACAGTTGAAGTCTCTTGAATCTACTGTCATGACCAAAATATTTTTTCAACGATGCAATTTATTTCGACAGATTACGATGTGCTTAAGAGCAGCAATGTGCGTAGAATAAAGTAACAAGCTGAGATTTTGAGAATCACGGTATCTGCCTTCTACATTGTTCATATCATCCTAAATGTTACTCAGAGTATTTATAAGTTTACTGTTTCTATCATATGAGCTGAACATTGAACTTCAGCAGTTCACCATAAATATATCTAACCTTTTCTCACAGGTTCATGTGATTACACTACCAGATAATAGTAGTGATATAGTATGTGAAGGTCTATATACCCATCAAAATGAGATATGGGATCTCGCCATATGCCCTTTCGAGCCTCAAATTATATCAACCGTGTACGCCTCAGGTCAGAGTTTTTATGTTGCAACATATTCGAGCATCTCTATGTATGATGTTCTTGGTTTGGCAGCTGCAAAGCTCCAGGTTGTGACAGTTTTACATTATTTAGGATGTCTGCTTTCTTTCTATGCATTTGTACGTTGTTCTACTGTTACATCTTTAGACTCTGGAGCAAATACGTAGCCGTTGAAAAGATTGTAAGTAATATAAGGTTGTCTTCTCTTACTAGGAATTTGGTTTTGAGTACTCCTTTAATTCTTACCGTGGATGGAACTACTTCAGTGGGCGAGTATGGGGCTGGTTTGTGGAGAATACCAGACCGATCAAGAGGAGGGCACATGAACGTCCAACCACTCCAAAATGTCGCTTCGTTAGATGGACATAAGCATACAATCAAATGGTACGTAGATTAGAATGTCCTAGCAGTTTTTTTAGTAGTTTCTTTGGATCTGACGGGTGAGAATACTGAGGTCGTCATAAGTAAGTAGGATATCACTCTGGAGACTTTTATCGTTGGTATTGTGAAGTTCGTAACAGGTGGTTCCAATGTTGTTGATACATAATTCCATTGCCGAAACTGATCTAAGTAAGAAGCTTATGACGACTGTATCAGTACTCTTTGGTGGCCATCGGGGAAACACAATCAGCTATTGAGCATTGATGCGGAGAACCTGTTTATTTGGGATGTCAATACCGCCCAGAGACTTGCCAAGGTAAGAAAGTCAGAGGAACACATTTGAATTATATTATTTTATGGTGCTCTGCTGCTCCATTTCGGCTAAGTTAACATGTCTTCTTTATTTTAGAAGTTTGAACATTGATTTTCTTTCGAGCAGAACTCAACTAGTAATGTTGCGCTTCATGAAGTCTTTCTACGTACAAAAGTTCCGAGTAAATCTTTCAGTTCCGTTTCCATCTAGGTTGAAACTCAGCTATCGGCAGGAGAGCTGCATCACATGGCAGGCGGAGCTTGGGATCCCCATGATGTTACAAACGTTGCTACTTCAATAGAATCTTCGGTCCAAATGTGGGATCTTCGTTCGATGAAGTATGTCACATCAATTTTTGTAACAAGATGTAATATCAGTCAATTAAGAATCTCTCATTAGATGTCTGGTGTATTATCCTGTCTTGTCCTCTTGTGAGTAGCATTTGATCGTATTCGGTAATGTTATCCTGGTGCCCGGAGACTATCAATCTTAGCTATCTGGCATTTACCGCAGTGTGTCTGTAGTGCAATCGAGAAAGATTTGTTATCCTGGGAATTGTTGAACAACTGGCTTTTGATTCCAGTCCTTATTACTGTAGCTCATATCCTTGAGACTCGGGTATACACTTGTGAAAAGTTGTGACGAAAACTTTCGAAAGTCGGAATTTCAAGTTGTCATACCTTGTCTATTATCGTAGATTCCAGATGGCTATGACCACTATGAGGGTTAACTTGTTTTTTGCAATACAGGCAATCAAGTAGAATTGAACAAGCACATGCTATTCAAGTGCGAGATATTGATTTCAATCCGAAGAACGAGCACATTATTGTACTTTCTTCCACTCAAGAACCATGTTTCTCCTGTTCTTCTGTGATGGAAACCGGATTTGTTCTTGGTCTTAGGTTAAGACTGTTCCGAACCTTGTGGTTCTTTTGTACTTTACTTAAGTTTATTTGGGTAGAGCTGACTGTCAAAGACCTCAGTAAACAATGACAGTCTGGTCAAGGACTGAGTATCAAATGCAATCGTGAAAGTCTGGACACATGAGGAAACTATTTTTTTCAAGTGAATGTCACATTTTTCTCAGTTTTTGCAAATACGCTTTCTTTTCTAAGTAGAACAGGTAATATACTTTTACAAAATACTCTTCTGCGTTAAGCATTTCTTTCACGTATCAAGTTAATTTTGCTCAGGGAGCAAGGTTTACTGGCCTTTTCAGAAGTATATTCAGAGTATCTACTAATCTATCCATAAATTCATCAGATCACCGCTGGAGATGATTCTAAGATTCGAGTGTGGGATTTGAAAATGCTCGGGATGCCCTTGAGGGAACTACCGGGTCATTCGCATTGGTGAGATTTTCCCCTCTTAAACTTATATACAATATTTCATTTCACAGTATCATGAAAGTACATTAGATAGATTTCACACTGATGAGACACCTGTGAAAAGAAGTGTTAATACGTCTGAAAATATCAAACTGAGTTCTTAGGTTGTTTTGGTTGTTTGATCTCTGTAGGACCTGGCGTGTTAGATATAATCCCACTTTCGAAGAGCTGGTACTTGTAAGTACTTATGTTCTCAGCTATTTATTCTTGATCATCTTCGTTTTGATTGAGTAGATGAATGCAGTGAAGTAATGATTTTTACATTCTGAAATCTGTTGCAGCAGTTAATTAGGATGTATAACTCTTAGAGCCCCGATGATTGTAGAATCTTCTGGATTAGTTATAGTTTCTAATCCCTCCCCTTCACCTCAAGCTAGCTATGACAAGCAACATTTGAGATCAGACTCTAGATAGCAGCAGATCATCTTCATACACTGCGTGCAAGGTAAATCATTCCCTCCTTATTGAACAAACTCAAATCTGATTGTGCTTTCTTGAAGCTTTTTTTGTGAGCTAACAATCTAACTTTTGATATCAGTTCCTATCTGCTTGCTTCAGTCCGTATAGTGTAATTTTAAACCGGCACATTTTTTCATCTGAATCAATATAGCCATCAGGTATCTGATGTACGCAGATGTACCTGATCAAATCTCCATCCAGTAGGGTTGTCTTGATATTCAATTGCTCCACTTCCCAAACATTGTCAGTTGCTAGAGGTAAGAGATAGAGCCAGACATTACTACTAGAGCAAAGTTTTTACGGTTTTCAATGTCTAGTTTCTGATTAAACCCGTTGGCCACCAACCTAGCTTTGAACTTCGAGAGCTCTCTAGTTTCTCCTCTCTGCACCAAATAGTCATGCTTTCGGGTAGGAGATCCATATTTCCGAGGTGTAGTTCCTTCTCTCCGTGTGTAGCTTGTTCGAACTTCTTCTCATTATCTCAAAAAGTAGTTATAGCTTCTTTCATGACAATACCATTCTGATTTGAGACATAAGCAACCTCTATAACAATTCCCAATCTATTATTTGAGATTATTTGTCTATCTGATCTTCGGAAATCAACTCCATCAACCTCTATAACAAATCCCATTCTATTATTTGAAATTATTTTTCTATTTGATCTTCGGTGAAAACTCCATCAGCGTGAACAATTTGTTGAGGTTTTCGAAGTTTCCTTGCCCTCCTCATATAGACACTCATTGAATGTTAACCGAATTTGACATCAATTAGTCCTTCCTCATCTTGGTCTACTTCAGTAGATACCATTTGATTTAAATCTAAGAAACAACAATACACCCTAAATAGGTTGTCATATGGGTTACCTCAGTAAATCTGACAACATAAACCATAGGGGTACTTGGCCACAAAGGTAAACCTAACAAACAATGTCATATGGGACTCCTTAGTTCATATAGGTTCTTTATTATTTTAAAGAAAGAAAATCAAACCCGAAAGAATGCATGTTCCACACTCTCTATACCTTGAATTCATGACCTGAGGGGGGCATAATGATTTTAGAGTGCAGGCACGGACTCCGTAGTCAACTTGTGGCACGTAATTCCTTCATCAAGCAGTGAGTCAAAACCTAAAAGGTACGTATACAGGATTGATTTTTGTACATCTATATACATGAACCTCATACTCACATAGATTTACAGAATATAGATATGAAACTTGATCATGTCGCGTAATGGTCAATGTTGTTCACACGACTTTAGGCATGAAAACTCATTCAACTTTGACAAGATGTGTGATGTATTTCTGTTTTCCGGACAGTCCATATGGATCACCAAAAGGCCCTCTGGATTCATTACTGCGAGCCTACACAGAACATGAAGACAGTGTTTATGGTAGGTGATCGTTTTGATATTCTTAAAAATCATTAAGACGCGAATCTCTTCTTTAAAAGTTTCGCATCATTCTTTAGAATTATATATATGAGGAATTTAATACGGCTCGCATTTGAGTTATATAGAGTAGTTGCTGAAAAAATTGTTGATGAATAAACCATGTTTTGTCCTATGACAGGAATCGCTTGGAGTGCAAGAGATCCCTGGGTGTTTGCTTCTCTCTCCTACGATGGAAGGGTAAGTTGCTACCAGTTCGTGACTTGAAGAGTTCCAAAGAATTCGTTTAGAATTACACGCTAGGACACAAATGCAGAAAATGTCTTCACGGACAAACTGGTACAGGGAAAGAGAGAGCTGTGATTTAACAAATTCTAACCTTTCTTCTTCATGTATTCAAGGTGATGGTGGACTCCGTACCACAGAACCTTCGCAAGCAAAGGCATTAAGTTTGTTCATATCCAATTGAAACGAGGGCAAGTTACTAGAATACTCAGCAAGTTCATTCTTACGGGCTGCACATCTTGAAGATCCACATACATCAAACCGTTTTATATTTATCACTTGCTTGTCTTGGCTCTCAGTAGAAGGGAGAAATAGGTCTTCCACTGCTCTTGGAGGTTAGAACAAGACATAAGCTAGTCTGTGACGTAAGAGAATCTCGAATTTTCTTCTGTTCCAACACCATTGATTGACATTTTAGTAATCAGTTCCCGGTCGAGTCCTTGGCTTGCAGTACACCATGCCATGATTGACTTCTCTAGCTTAACAGTTCGTTGGAATCATATATTAGGACTAAGATTGCACGAAAATGCTAGGCTGTTCCAACTTCATGGAGGATGTGATACTCCATTGATCAGTGTCATATACGTAGACTCATCTTAATTCGAAGATTAGATCAGTCTTATCTCCAAACCAGCTTACCTTCTAATGATCTGCTTGGCGAGAGTTGACGTAATAGTAACCTTCTACGCGGTGAATTCACCATGCGAGGGAGTGAACAGGAAAACTTTCACTGTAGAAATATGAAATTCAATACTCATATTTCAGGAGAAATAAATCCGAGCTGAACTGAGCGCGAAGATTTTGCCTCACAAGAAATATCTCATGAATGTTAATGAATCCTCTTGTGAAGTTCATTTATACGCATTTCATCAACCCGACACACAATCTCGCTAAGTCTGGAGTCCACGTGGCTATATAAAAGTTTGTTGCTTTGACAATGCTAGACCCAGTCCTTCTCGCAGTTCCAGCCTGAACTTGGAAAAGATTCTCATGTTAAGCTTTCACAACTACAATCCTGTCAGTATTGAAGTGTCCAGGACCTGTGGCGATTAGTGTTTGGATGTGAATGTTGCATTGATGATTTAAATAGAAAATCAAGTTTTACTCAAGTACATCACTAAGGTTAGAGTGTCTACTGTAGGCAATCTCATCTAGTGATGTCTTTTCTTGCGAAGTGTATAGATTGCTAATTGTACTCATAAATAGCAAAAGTTGTGTGAATATTGGATTGAAGAGTGATCTATATGGAATGTTATGTTGACTGGAGATATTTAATGGAGATCGCTGATCCATAAATTCCACTTCCCGAAGGCGAGCGCTCGGGTAATCCGGAAGCTAGAAAAACTTGAGTACAGTAGTAAGAAAAACGAGCCATGAGAGAGCTCCAATTTCAAAAGTTCTTATAACCACCACAATTTCGGGATGAATAACTGCAACAATCCCATTTCTTGACGTGCACAATGTACGAAGGTAGTTTCGGCACTTGCTACCTCCTGAAGGTGTCATGTCGCCATGTCCTGAAGGGGAATGAACAGAGAAGGATCTAAGAGCAATTGTCAAAGTCGGCATACTGACAGAGGATGTAAATAACAAGAACCAAGTTGATAAAGAATTTCCATGATAAGTTCTATGCACTTTATCGGTCAGAAGATGTACCATGCTATATTCACGAGTTATCTCTTTGGGATGGTTCAACTATTAAGATGGTTCAGAAAGGTAAAGATACTTTTCAACTTTTTCTGCAACCTTTCATACTTTCACCCTTTCGAAGATTTTACTGCTTCACGGGTCGATTTTCTCAAAAGACTCAGAGGATCGAATCGCTTGGAATAAGCCAAAATGAGCAAGTCTCTAGAATTAGCAGTTTGGACATGCATAATCAATTAGATATACTCGGGGTACCTTTACTGTTAAGTAAAACATGGAGACGCGTGCGCGATTGATTATGCTTGAAAGCTTTAACACCCAGCTGTTTCCTTTGTTATTTAGTAAAAACTGCTTACTGTCAAAAGGTCGCCTCTGATCTCAAATCAGAAATATTGATCGATTGGCGACAGAAATTGTGTTATCCATAAAGTTTTCAATATACCATAAAAAAACATAAAAACTGGCCTTATCAACCACTGACTTTGAAAAATCATGTGCAACCAGCCTTCTGAAATTTGTGCACTTCAATGCATTGCCAGTACAATCATACTAAACGGCATCGTCACATAGTATTGGACTTGGACTTATAAGAGTCCACTGAGAGGAAATAAGAGAGTCGTGAGGTTTGTCTCAGTTATCAACAGTTGCGAACTGTCGGTTGAAGTACGAGTGCATGTCTATCTTCCTTGAGGTGCAAGCATCGTATGCGAGGTTATATATTCAATTCTTCAATATATATACTTACGAGGATTCTTTCTTGACTTTTATGCTTTTTGCAAGCAAATACTAGATATTGTTCGATTGCGTCATGCTAATCTCACACTTCATCGAGATCGTAAATCAAATCATTGAAAAAGTGAAGCAGGTGCACTGGTAGAAATTTGATGTAGAGGAATCTTGGAGTTTTCCAACAAGGTGGATTTTGAAGAAGATATTTTTGCACAGCAAAAGACTTCATACAGTCAGAGTCTCGAACAGAAAATCAAAGCGTCTACTCCCTAATATATTCAGGTTCACGTACATTCTAAGTGTCAAGAATGTGCGTGAACCTAAATACCAATCGCAGAATAATTCATATTTCAAGTTAAGTATCTTCAAGTATCATCAACCTTTTCCTGTAAGTGGGACCAATATTCATCAAACTTGTAAAAGGTATTTTACGTATTATCAACTGTGTTGCACTCGCCACTTGCTAGAGACAATTTCACAATTAGCTTCAACTACATTCTTGCACTTGGACCTTTTGCCTCTTTATCGGTAGTTCTAGTATATGAATGAATGAGAGAAAATTCATGTACACCATTTCAAATATCCATACTGACGACGTGTAAATACACTTGTTGAGTCTAGATATATGTATGAAATACATGCAATAACGATGTATATTTATATCATGTCCAACATATAAGAAACTTTAGACAATTTTTTAGTAAATCCGAATTTATGGAATTTTTTGATAAATTAAATATTAATCTTAAAAATTTTGGTTTCTTCTATGCTTAAAAATCTTTTATCTGCATATCAGAAGTCCCATTAATATTGAATTCTAATTTTTTTCTAAATTAGAATAAAAAGCACGTATAAAGAAAAAAACAGCGGGTATTGTACCTATACTATGTGCAGGACTTATAGTTGTTCAGGCATTCCGCCAAACACACAATATCCGGTTCGTGAAAATTATGCATTGGATGTCCATATGCTCCAGACATGACAATTGGAGCTGGTAGTAGAGTCAAGATCAATACTTCTGGATTGGCTCCGAAAGCTTTCTGATGTGCACCGCTTCCTGATTGACCTCATGAAAGACGACAACACATTCCTCTAATTGTGGTGAGATGTTACACATCGTAAGCTTGACAATTGATTGCCAAGTGGAGCCATGGGTTCTTCAAAAAGCTGTTTTATCTGCCTGGCTCAATACTTCTACCAATTTCCGTACTCGCTACTTTTGATGCTCTGAGGAGTTGGTTTTGATCACCGGCATGGCCTTTTAGGCTGCGGTAAGTACCGTGGAACCTTATTGATAACAACACCCTCCTCAGGAGATAGACAGACTAGACTAATTTCTTAATAATAAAACTTACCATGATGTGAATTGGTCAGAAGATACAATTCTCACCTCAACTAATGTTTTGGTAAGTTTTTAACAAAATCTAACCCCTAATAATTGTGTGCTATAGGAGTGTACACAAAAAGGGTACAACACTAATAAATTACAGGCACTTATTTTTAAATCTTCAAGGGTATGTTAATTAGAATAGTTCATACCCACATACATCAACTCTCTGTATATTCCTGCTGGCTCCTTGCTATCATGTGATTTTATGGTCCTAAATTTTAATTTCACCAGTTTGTTTGCAGTTGTGATTGGACAGAACTACATTTTCTGTACTTTAAAAAAACCTGTGAATACACAACTGTAGATGAAATGAAATAAGAAGCGCCGACGATAAAGGCTATCCCTTCGACATGTGAGAAAAATTGAGTTCAGTACACCAGAATGCCATAATAAGGCATAAGAAAAGGTTGGATTGCAAACGAAGGAACGGCAGTTAGCATATGAGAAATATCTTGATCAAGCTAATTCCGTCTGCATACCGAAGACTTCTGCGGCCGGACAGATTATAATATTTATTTGAGCTTAGGTAATATTTGTTGCGCGCAGATTTTACAACATCCCAGAGGGCAACTAATTATTTGTATATGCATTTGGTTGATGACGAAACCAAAAACGCGTTTCCTCCATTGCCCCGGGTGGAAGATGACAGGCATACCGAGTAATAAAGGTCATATGTGACACTAGATGACAACCCAGACATTTAAATAACGGCTTACAGTAGGGTATGTACTGTGTTGCCACCCAAGCCGAACGTCACCGACTACCAGCAGCACGTGGAAGCCTGTTGGAGTACTCTTGTAATGCAGCTAATTTCGCAAGTAAAATCATCGACATTACTTGCTAGAATTTTCGTCCTCGTACGTACGCTTTATCTCCACTTTTCAATAGAAAAATCCCAGACAGTCGCGCATCGATTGTGTGGTCGAGATTCCAGGAAACCTAAAGCTCATGTAGTGATGTTTTGGTTTTAGTAGTGTACTAAGTAATACAAGTCATATGGATAATAAAGCAACAAGAATGGTTGCAGCCCTATATATGGAAGTGTACCATTAAGAGCAGGTATGAAACCAGCTAAAGTGGTAGGATGGGGCTAGGCCCTATTAGCATCAAAATGATAAATATATCTGTTGCATCTAAAGTATGTAAATTTTGAGGTAACTACGTATACATAAGGATATTTAAAGGAAAAATATGAGTACTTTACAACGTAAAATACTAGCCAATGCTATGAGTATAAAATTCAATATAATATGTTAAAAAACCATACATAAGTCAACTACCTTCATCAGTTCTTTTGCACTTTTTTCCAAACTTGAAAACAATAGAAAAAACTAGAGAAACGAAAAGTCTATCTCATTATAAAGCATTAGTGGCTTTAGCTCCACTTGTTGCCTCTTCAGAGAATAGCAATCATCCGCTCCCATATTGTGTCAAACGGATTGTTGACTTCATACTCCAGATTTTAGTATTCAAATCAACTACAATACAAAACAATGTGATGATTTTATCTGGAGTATTTTGTCATGCCATAATAAAAAAAAGCTTTGATGTCATCATGGTAGTTATATCCTTTTGTTATCACGTTGTTCATAAAATGTGATTATATCACATATAACATGAATATATCATAAAAACTGTAATTTTGAATATTTATGATATTTAATTTTAAATTATAATACTTTCTTGTTTTATCAAGGATATTTTTATCTGCATAAAAATAAAGAAAATACATCTTAGATCAGAGAGATATTGAATATACAATTTAAAGTAAGCTACCTTATAATAAAAATGAAAAAGTCTACACCATGAAATCATATGTATTACATATACATTAGGATATGCATATATGCATACCCTTTCAATAATTTCATTATTATAAATTGAAAATTTTTTATCGCGATTTTATGTTGAATTTCATTATATTATCAAATTTCAAGAATGAAGTATATTTTTCAACACATTTTGAGGTAATATATATATAATGCAGTGAATTAAACTTGTTCAAATTGTAACACAATTTTGGAAAAATAAAATAAAAATGTTTGATATTTTAATTGCTATTTATTTATAAAAAATTTGAAGTTCGAGATTAAGATTTATATGAAATTGATAATGATTGAAATAAAATTTTATAGTATAATGAAAATAATTTTTTCTTACATTTTTGAAATATTTTAATATTTAAACTTAATATTCACAATTTAATAAAAAGTCTCACAAGTATTCTAAATCCATTCCTAAAGTTTCTTTTTTGAAGTTTTAATTCAAATTCATAGTTCTGATAATATCATGAAATATAGAGAAAATAAAATTTCTGAATTATATATATATCTGTTCTACAGCTATTTTCATTTTATCTGAAAAGAATTTAATTGCTTTTTAAAATTATGTACACTCTTGTCATCAAGTATTAAAACTTTTATGAAATCTCGAAATTAACTTTGTTACATACCTTTATTGTTATGTATGAATGATAGAAAACATCCACCTAATTCAGTAAATCCGAAAGGCTTTCACATCAGGATCTGATGCAAGAAATTAGAATAAAAATAGAGAGTATTCCAATTGATCATTGATGATAGAGTGAATAAAGAAATTTCAAAGATGCAAAGTTATGCTTAATGCTAAAAATGTATGATATTAAAATTTTCGGAAATTTCACATGAATAATTGCAAGGTTGGAAATATACATTTAGCTCATATATTCAGCTCTTTCATAACATACACTAGTTTATCACGTATTTTTATTTGTGTACAAGTCGAGCATATACATGTCAAATCTTAAGAAAATAATGTATCTTCACAAAGGAAATTCAGAAAATCAAAAAATCAAAAGCAAACACAAGATTTTTATTTTCGGTATACTATGAATTCATATCATTATAAAATTTATAAATATGAACAAAATAAAAAATAAAAAATAAAAACATACATATCTTCATATTTGAGGATAATTGCATGAGTTAAAAATCAACAATGCAAATTTGTGTAGTTGAATCTACTCCATAAAATGTATAAGTAGTTGGAACAAAATCTACAACACGTTTAGATGATTTGAGTTGGTTTTCATAGAATGTGATTCGAACATGACATCATGAAATTTCAATTTTCATTCAAAATGTTTTTGAAGTAAAGTCGAGTTAATGAGCTCTAGCACATCAAATCTAGCCCTAAAGCAAATGAAGAAGAATATAATGAAACACATTTATGTCAATTTTTCATATATTATGCTTTATAAAATTATTGAACTAATCAACATATTAGGTAATTGAGATTGTGAAATATTTTTTTCATAATGAATAATTGAAGTGGTTTTTGAAGCATAGTGCTAATTTTCAGATATTGCATATAAAAATTATCAGAATTATTAGAATTACACCACTTATTAGAACTACACCATTGATTTTGGCCTGAAAACATTTTTCAGGCCAAAATCAAGTATAGCTTACTATACTCAAGCAAACAATAGAAGAGGATGAAAGATGAACTAAATAAGTGGCATAGGTGTGAAGACACATATTAGTGCTGATTTTCCTTGTGAATAGTCCCGCGAGTTGCACGTTAGCATGGAGATCAGTTTCAGCCTGGTGCTAGTATGGCTGAATTAAGTACAAGTGGGGATGCATAAAATAAGATATTACCACCAAAATGAAAGTACCTTTGTTAGGATGTGATTTATATAACAACATAAAACCTTTGATTCCATGACCCGTTCTAGCTCAGCGGATTGAGCGCAAGGTTCTCTACCTTGTGGTCGGGGTTCCAGTCGGCGGTCATAGAGTTACAAAGTTTTTATGATGAATTGGAGTCTCTTACCCGCGAGAGCAAATTTGAGCATCTCCACTACATTTGGATCGTTTATGCCTCACAACTAGGGTTGGAGTCACAACCTCAAAGGAGATTATGTGATTTTTAGATATTATTTTAATATATATTAGTTTATTACAATTTAATCTCTATTTAATTTCAATTCACATATTCCTAGGTATTATACATTTAGTTCAAATAATAAAATATTGATTACAGTCAATTGAAAGATTGTTAAGTTTAATCTAGTTGCTATTCAATGCCATGCACACTAGGATAAATTATCACTACCACACATAAGTAAGAAGATTTAGTTCAGCTATTTGTGAAACATTAATTTCATCTGCAATGAAACTAGTACTTTATAATCGTGTAAGGATGTTCAAGAAGATATATTTACTATGTCGAATTTCTGATATTGCATGCTTTTTCTAGTGTGTTATGAAATAATAACTATACTTCAATATTTCTTCTTGAACATACTTAATACGTCAAATTTCTCATTTCCGTGTGTTTTTCGTGCAGGTTTGCCACCGTTTTAATAGAAACTTTTGTTAGCTATAGAGAAACAGAATATTGAAAAAAAAGCTGAAATTTTGTAAAAATGTGTGCATTGGAAAATATATAGTTCATAAAATTGCATATCGAATGGTTAAATATAAATGAGATTAATTCGCATGATCCTAAAATCATGTAAAGTAAATCACTCAATTGAAATTGAGTGAAATTGACACTCATTGATATTATTTTAGAGAATTTTGTTGTAAAATAAAGGTTTAGAATATTTCTTTCATAAAGCTTAAAAAACACATAATATTCATTGGGAAATCGGTTTGGAACGTTTTTTTATTAGAAATTTGTGATTGAACCATTTTGTCTCACCGCATGAAATTAAAGTCTCGATATCATGTCAAGATATCATGGAACATGGACAAAAAGTCCGACGATTCCTCGCGTAGTCTGGAAATGGTCTCGTGCATTCAGTTTCTTGCTCATGTGTCAGCTTGGAACATTTATTGGACAGGGGATCCACGAAAACAGATGCAGAGTCACTTATGTACACTTATGGATCGAATGGAAGCCAAGGAAGAGTTACATTCAAAAGAAATACGAAGATTTGATGGAAAAAGTAAACGGCGATAAAGAAATATCCAGCATTGACTGTACTGCGCAGTAACGTGGAAGTTAAAGGCCAAACGTAAACCATTTTGACCAGAAAGTCAACCATTGTCAAAGTTGGACACTCATCACGTAACATTCGATAACGTAAGTTGGAGTGAAGGCGACGACCGGACTGGACTGGGCCGGACCATTCACGAGGTCAGCTTCCGGTGGTTCGCCAGATTCATAAAAGTGTTAGGGGAATGGCAAAACGCTTTGGGGAGGAAATCATGATCTCCAAGTAGTAGGCCGCAGCATACGGCATATGGTGTAGCAACGTGAGAAGAAGTTGTGCCACTAATTACTGAACGATGTGATTTGTTCCAGCACCTCATCGGCCTCAACAGCTGGAAGAAGAATGAGACTTGACTTTGCGTGGACAACTATGATTCCTATGCTCGAAAACGTAGTTGAAACCGAGACGATGAAAGAAGAATTTGGGTTTGCTATGTTTGAAATTCCTAGTTTTTTCAGACTTTGACACATGAAACTCAGTTTGATGAAACCTGACAGACTGTAAAGCTGCAGTTGAGACCAGCCTGCGTCCAATTTGCTCCAATGTCACGCCCTTACGAGTCCACATGCCATGCCACAACTAAACTCGGACAAGTCCCATCAGTTTGCAACGTAGATGTGGCATTCCCAGTTTAGAAATACACTCGAATGTGGCTAACATGTACCGCTTGCACTGGTCAAAAGTATTACGCAAGTACATGCTCCGACTTCTCGGGAATTTCTTGAAACTCTGGTCCACTGTTCGATACCAAACACGGCACGAGAAGTCAAGTTGCAGTTGGAAACCACAACCCATTCACTGGAATGATGGTGTAGTTTCTCTGAAGTAACCGATGTTTATTGCCAACATATTTTGAGTGGAGTAGCCCACAGATGATGGGCCTGGTAACAGTTTGGGAGGACCGACTAAACCAACATTGTAATAAATTTGGAAGGAAGAAGAAAAGAATAGAAACATTCATCATGCGAACTGTATTGATGGCGACCAATTATACGGTTTGACTTGTGAGGACATAGCGGAAAGCAAACATCAGTGGGAACGACGACGACGACGCTGCTTTTGGTTTCATCACGCATCACGCAGAAGGTTTAAGCGAGAAGACGCGACACTTACTTAGCAGCAGCAGCAGGAGGAGGAGGACGTAAGTGAAGTTGATCATCCTGCTGCACATGGAGGCCTGCCTTCCTCGGGAGGGAGCGCAGTGCACAGTTGCCAAATGAACAGAAAGACCAAGAGTGGACCAGATTCTCGCTCTCGTCCTCTTCGGAAATCAGGGGCCAGAGCTGGTCCACCGGATGATTCCAAAGCAGAGGTGGAGAATTTGATCGCGAGGGCGAACAAGACAATAAACGTGTGTGTATGATTGGGACGGGGATGGAGGAGGAGGAGGAGGAGTCCGAGGGAGGGGGCCGGGGGGAGAACCTCACTGTGACTCTCTCATGGTTAATGTACAGCTCGGGAGGCATACTCTGACACGTAACGGGACGCACAAGGGGAGGGCTGCTCTGTGATCCCCCGAGCCCGAAACTCTTATTTTACTCGCATGCTGCACAGATTCAAACGTGACATGGCGATGAGCCCAGCCCCTACTATGAAAGCGGGTCGTCAGGGCGATGTACAAGGAGAGTGGATGGCAATCCGACGGCGTTCCGCCAGCGCTTTGACCTCGTGCTCGCCTCTGCAGGGCGGTAATTTCGTGGAGGTCCGCCCGCCGAATCCTGGGTCCAAGGGACTCCACCTGTAATGAGAAGGTGTTCAGGAGCAGCAGCAGGGCCGGGGGGCAATGGACAAGTAAGACGAGTGAGTTCGTGCTTTCGACGAGGAGTGCTTGCGATCTGATCCCCTTTTGATGGCAAAGCTTATGGTCTAGACAGGAATGCTTGCTGCTGCTTGGCTATGGCGGATGCACGAGTGAGCTTGCCGCAGGTGCTGCTGCTGGTGTGTCGTTGCTGGTGTGTCGTTACGGTGGAATCAGTGTCTGATCTGCGAGCTGAGGATTTGCGTTTCGACCATGTTTGATCTGAACGAGTTGCCGGAGGGGGATGGATTTTTCCCCGCCGCCAAGCCCGAGTCCGAAGCTCCTGCGGCTGCTGCTGCAGAGGGGTTTTTCGCGGCCGACAATTCGACCAAGATCATCTGCAGGCTTCTTCGAGACGAAGAAGCCGAGACCAAAGGAGGGGCCTCTGTCGCCAAGACCTTCTTGACGGCGGACTCGGCCGCCATCGCTTACCCCGATGAAGACTGGGAAGCGGAAGAATTAGCGCGGTACGATGCTGCCAACGCTGCGAATCGAGCTACCTCGCCGATCCGTGGCCCTGCAGAGATCCATCGCTTCACGGAGAGCAAGCTATTGGAGCGAATCGAAGCGCTCTCTGACACCTCCTACCCCGGGTTCGGTATATCACCTCGTCCTGAGAAGCTCGGACAGAGGAATAATAGCTCGAGCGAAAAGCGTTCAGACCTGACCACGGACTTTTTTCACCGATCCCCCGGGAAATTGGACGCGTCTCCTCTGGATAATAATCTCCTCAGCGATAGCGTCGACGATGACCGCAATTCGGACTCTCGACCGGCTTCGCTCTTTTCTGGTGGCAGCAGGTCTGCCAGAAAAGGCAAACGGGCTCGAGAGGACTTGCTCGTTGGACAAGCTCTGCCTGATGAATCGACTACTACTCCCAAACTTAAGAGACCTGCTCGATTCCCTCCTCCACCTGCTGCTGCACGGGTCGAGGGCAATCGCGGACCAGGACCCTCACTCTCGATGACAGTCGACAGAGATGCGGCCGAACTTGTAATTTCTTCTGCCAGTAATCACAAATCCCTCAGTAGTAAAGGGGAATTATCAATTGAAGAAGCCGCAACCTCACTCTCGTTGGGCGAATCATCGGTGGCTGTTCTCAAGTCCGATGCCGGTGCCATTCATCCAGCTATGGATGCTGCGATTTTGCCCTCTGTTAAACCTGCTGCTCTCGGTCTGAGCATTATATCGAAGACTGTCGCCAGTGCGGTGAAAGCTACGACGGCGAATCAGGAGGCTGAGACCTTCGTCACCGCTGCGATTGCGATTGCTGCGGACAGAGAAGCCGTGGCCCAAATCGATTCTGCCAAGAGTGCGAAGGAAGTGGCCGGCGTGCTGCCGATTGCGGAGGTCGTTTCTCACGAGCAGCCTTTCTGGTTTGGACAACTGCGCGGCGACGCCTTCGGCTCCACGGATGTGGCAGCATACTGCTCTGAGCCCATTCCGCTAACTTCACAGCTGCGGACTTTGCCGCAGGTTATCACGGTAGAGAAAGTGTCGAGACTTGAAGAGTATGTTCTCCACGCTTTGATTTCTGATCCTCCTCGCACACCGCGCGTGATTGTACATTGACCCAAATCTCAAAATCTGTGACTAATTAATCAATCAGGAGGACGTAGATTCATTCAACTTCCCTAAACCGACCAGTTGAAGTGGACATTTGCGATTCTCTGACAGCGGGATTCTCTTTCTCTTTTGGTTTGTACAGATTGTTTGAAGCCATTAGAAAGGGCCCCGTCGACGATCCCATTATTCGAATCAAGCACCCGCCCACTCCTGCGAATGCGCGAGGCGAAACCTTCGCCTGCATGGTTAGTTCTTGTCCGTCGGTGTTTATGCTTCTTACTGTCCAATCCTCACGGATGCAGGATTTCTGCGTTCGCGCTCGTCGATCGCCGACTGGGAAATCGTCCGTGGACTGTCCTAGTCTAGAGGCCAGATTCATCCATCCCATGATTTCACACCGATTGATTGGACTATGGCTAGGACGGGCGCGAGGTAGAGCAGAGCATGTGATGAGAGCAGAGTAGAGCATGTCGATCTAATTTGCTGCCCTTAATGACTGAGACCTAATACGACTCTGGTCGTACTTTGAGCAGTTTGAAGCTCCGAGGTTGCGGAAGCAGGGAGGAGGCCCCAAGGCTGGCAGCGGCCAAGTGGAGTTGCAGCTCGGGCTGAGAAATGGATCGGCCGATCGGCAGATGGGGCCGCCGGGCTTCTCATCAGACGACGACCAGCAGCAGCTCGTGGCCGTGGCCAGGCTCGCCGATGCCAAGCCGCAAGGCGGGCGACGGGGGGCTTCAAGAAAGCTCTACCTCGTGCTCGATTCCGTCGCAGAAGGAGCTTGTGACACGGACGCGCAATTTCGGAAGAAATTCGAGCGCGAGATCATCGGATACGGCAATGTCGAGGAGAGCATTCTCTACGGGATTGTGTGCCATGGTGCCGAGAGGGATCGGGTCGCTGAGTCCGGGCCTGCCGAGGAAGCGGTAGCGGAGGCGATCGGGGCCGTCGAGTCGATTCCGAAGAATAAGGGCGAGGCCATATCCGAGAAGCGTCCGGCATCGCTGGCGGAAAAGAAGGTCGGCGTCGTCGAGGCCGTGGAGCGTGACAGCCCGTTGGGCAGTGGGGCGAGGGCAGAGGCCGCGGAAGGCGGCGCTGCGGGGAAGGACCCGTCGTCGCATGCATCGAAGGCCAAAGATGAGAGCGCTCACGAAGCGCGGCGATCCGAGAAGAGCAGCAAGCCCAAGAAGGACGAGGCAAGCAAGGAGAGGCAACGAGATCGAGATCGAGAGCGAGAGCGCGATCGCGATGGACGTGGGAAAGATCGCGAGAGGGAGCGCGAGCGCGAGGGGCGGTCTGCGACCAAAGATGTGCACCGGCACTCGCATCGCCCGACTGACAGGAGCAAGGATGCCGATTCTTTCAAGCGCGATCGGTCCAAGGATAAGGAAGCCGATCGATTCCGCGAGCGAGATCGCCACCGCGAGTCTCATCGCGAGCTCCTGGAGCGGAAGAGGGGCAAAGAGTCGGAGCGCGAGAAGCAGGAGAAGCAGAAGGAGAAGGAGAGGCAGCGCGAGCGAGAGAAGGATAAAGACCGCGAGAGGTCTGCCAGGAAACGGGAACGCGAGGTCGAGAAATCGAAGGTGGAGAAGGAAGAGAAGAGAGCCACTCCGGACTCGGACAAGCCAGCTCCTGGCTTCGGCCCTCCAGCCCCAGGATTTGCCCTTCCAGCTCCCGGATTTCCTCCTCCAGCGCCTGGGTTTTCGAGAGACGGAAGCTCTGCTCTTGGTGCGGCTTCGCTCTCTGGGAAAGACATCAGGAGACGAGGCAAGATTGTCGACGAGGATGTTGCTTTCGATGAGAAATATGGATTCGATCTGAAAACAGTCCAGCCCGAGAGGGAGATTAGTGTGAGCAAAAAAACAACTCACAGCTCGAAGTCGGACCCTTTGGTCGACACCGGAGCCCGCAGTTCTAAGGATGACTCCGCAGTTGTTGTTCGAAAAGATACTTCTGCGGACGTCGATAAAATCACGTTCGTTAAACCAGGAAGCACTGGTGACGCCCATGGTGGTCCACCAGTGCCCAAGATTGATACTGTCACAGCTTCTAAGGATGTTGAGACGACGGTCCAAAAGGAGGTCACACGAGAAAGGTCAGTATCCGTGGTCCCTGATAGTCTTGTCCAACCCGCTTCGGAAGTGGGTCGAAGTTTTCATGCCAGTCTGAAATTGAAGGCAAGTATCTTCGGCCAGAGTGAAGTCGCTGTCGTTAACGATCCGTTTGTTCTCGGCGACATAGCGACCTCGAGTCGCAGGGGCACCGAGGAAGCCATGGATCACGACGGCGACACTCGGGGTATTGAGAATGTCCAGGGACGCAAAAGGCCGGAAACGCCCAAGGTTCTCGTTACAGAGTTCAATATTGGCAGTGGCACGAAATTTGAAGTTCCGTCCATGACCAGCATCGGAAGTGCAAGCGTATTGCTGCATAGCAGCCGAGGAGGCACTTTGGAGCTGGGAAGGAAGGAGGAGACAATTTCAGTGGATGCGAGTTTGAACGATGCAGTAATAGCGAAGGGAGTACTTAGGAATAAAGATGCGCTTTTACCTCAAAAGTCGAAGCCTCCCATTTATGTTCGAGTCGAGGGTATGTTAGACGCAGCTCAAGGGCAAAAGTATGAAGGCACGGCGAGTGGTCCAGATCTTGATGCTCCGCTTAGTCCGATTGACAAATCAAGACTTCAAAGGACCGAAGACGTGCCAGCAGCCCACTTAACTGGACAATATTCACACGCTGCCGTCGACAATGGAGTGGTTCCGCATGCTAGCGCAGCAGATAAAGATATTACCTGTGACGTTCTTCTTCTAGCATGTGACAAGGAAACGCGTGCTTGGCTTATATCTAAGCCAAATGCCTGCTATTTGGCGGAAGAATTTGGTAATGTTTTTCCCCATCTTGATCTGACTTGGGTCCCATGTCCCTGATCAAGTGTGTGAGAGGAACTCTTAATTTCTCTCATTCAGATCATGTGCGAAATTTGTTGAAATTTGTTGGTAGCATTTGGCATTCCTCTGCTTCATACCTATGTTTTTAGTTTACGTTAACTCGAACACGACTCCCGAGAAACGTATTTATCATTGAGAAGTGTCACCCTCTATGAAGTTTATTGACCTGCGGCTTAGTTTGGTGCAGGTGTCCGTATTGTCAAGTATGAAGAGATCCCGATCACGAAAGTTGACCCGAGGCCGAAAGTTCAAGGTATAATTCCCTCCATGTACCTCTGTCGACAACTGACAAGTTTTCTTCTTCGTGAAGAATCAGCTCTTTGTTCACTGCGAATGTTGCTTCGTCATTCCTGTCCAAACCTACCGTCGATGAATTATGGGGATGATTCAACCGCTTGTGTTGCTTGTGTTTTTGCACGGCTTTAATGATGGTCTCTTGTAAAGACTTTATCGTTTCTGCTTCACGTTTTCCAGGACCCGTCAATGTGAAAGTTACTCTGGCAACAGAGAAGTCAGCAGATTCCAATGAAGCAAGATGGTTTATCAACCAGGCTGCCGACATGCTGCGTGCTGTAGCGTCGCGTGGAGTCTTCGCCAAGTGTCTTTGGTATCAAGGTTCGGTGCAACGTTTTAACGGCGATCAGGGCGACGATCAGGCTCCGTCTATTCAAGCCGTGGTTAAAAAGATCAAAGGAGAAGACGGAAAGAATCTCGAAAGAATTCAAGAGCTTACTGGAGTAATGATCGGTATCGTTCTTGACGCCGGAAACAAGAAGGGAATTGTTAATTCACCTAGAGTGATCGGACTGAGACTTAAGTGCATTAGAAAAAGGGGTTTCGTCGAAGCTACAAGACAAGCGGAGGAGTTGCTGGCACAAGTAGCAGAGCGATTCTCTAAAAACAGCGGAAGTGGAGCAGCGGGATCACACGATGTTGCGATTCCGAAACTGAAAGTGGATTGCTTCAATGAAACGTCACCTTCTTCTGGTATTTTGACCCCCATGCAAAAGGATGTGTTTGCAGCTTATTCTCCTGTCTCCCCTGTTGCAGCATCCACCCCTCTTGCATCCTTTAAAGCTAAACTTGAGGAACCGCCGATTGAAGTCAAAACATTTTCGGCATGTGCAACAGCGGTGCCATCAACTTCACATCCCGAATTCGTATCAGCGGTGAATCTAAATCCTCCGGCAGCTTATGAAGACATCAATGCAGAGTCTCAGTCCGAGGATGAGGAGCTCGACCGTATCGTAAGGCCGTCCGAATCAAAATCAGGACGTTGTCGACCTCTTTACGTCAGCAACCTTCCTAGTTTCACAACAGTTGCTATGCTCAAGGGATTGTTTGAAGAAGTGTTCAGGGACAAGTATGGCATACTTTCTAGCTATAATGGAATATCAGAACTTGTTCATGATATCAAAATTGTTCCAGATAATCTTTGTGCTTTCGTAGAGTTTGCATCGGACGAGCTACTCAGGCTCATTCTGAAGGCATACCAAGAGGACAGGAGTATCTTTTGCGATTTGAAGTTGGAGCTGGGATCTCCAGCAAACCTGAAGTCAGAGAGGCAGTATCTGACTGGTAAAATCGAAGCATCTGGAATGGGTCTGGAACTTGCTGGTGGTTCAGCGGAGCCAGCAGGGCTCACACGGGTAAGAAGAGAAAAGAAAATCCGCAGAAGCGTTGAGCCGGCGGGGAGGTTTTCTGTTGTACGGAGTAGCACGGACAGCGAATGTGAAGCATTTTCTCAAGGGCGGCGCTTTGGCAGCAGGGATCCAGCCATGCGGTTTCCACGTTCTTTAGAGAAGCCTAAACCCTTGTTCTTGACGGAGCTAATGAGGAATGCGTCTCCTCGATCCATACACGATCTCTTCGAGGACATAATCAAGAAGTATATCAATCCTTCCTTAGGAAGCTTGAAAGGGAGACAGACCGTGCTGGATGTGAGATACATTCCATCCAGAGGATGTGCATTTGTGGATCTGGCCACTCCTGAACTGGTGGACTTTATGCTTGACCTGCATGCGCGGAAGCCTGATGTGTTTTGCCACATGAAAATGGAGATTGGCCGAAGACCTTTACCAGGTCAAGGAGATGACGAGCCTCTTGTGAAAAGGTTATATCCTCCAAATCGATATCCGCCTCTTTCCGATGAGACTCACACTTATAGCTCTGGCAAAAAGCCTCGCAGGCAATTTGCGTCCATCAGCCCTCCTAGACGAGAATTGACTGTTATGGAGCATGATTACGTGGACGACAACGAGGAGGAGGAGGAAGACGACAGGCAACTAACAGGAGTGAGGAAACGCAGGTCAGACCCAGAACGGACTGTATACGCGGACAGACTCCCCGAGAATGCCTCTGAAGGCATGATCCGAAGAATATTTGAACGCGTTTTGGTAGAACACATGACTGATGATCAGCGAGAAGTGCGGGGCGACCAATTAATTACGGAGGTTCGATACGTCCCGACGAAATTCTGTGCGTTTGTTGTTTTTGTTGGAGAGGACCTAACCAGGCTAGTTTTGCACCTGTATAACCAAAACGAAGACATTTTTGAAAATATGCGATTGAAACCTCACTTCCATTCGAGGATGGAGGACTTATACCGGGAGGACATTCACGAACGTGATGATGGAGGTATTCACCGCGTGCTGGCTCGGGATGCATCAATGGACCGGCGAATCCGCCGTATTGAGGATTATCATGCTGAAGTCAATGACCTTACACGTAGTCGAGTGTCCACAGCTCATCGAGCTGTTGCTGCTACGGCGTTTAAAGAGGTTGATAGGCGGAGATCTGTATATGTGGATCGCATTCCCGAGTGTTTGCCAGAACCCAAGATGAGAGATATCTTTGAGAGGGCTCTGGGGCAAAATGAGCATCCCTTCAATCCTCACTTAGTATCACAAGTGACATTCTTTCGGGACAAGTTTGATCCGGACAAACTTTGTGCTTTCGTCGAGTTGGAAAACGAAGAGCTAGTTCAGGAGTTGCTTGAGGTTTACACTGATAACGAGAATGCTTTCAATGGTATGCGAGTGAGACCAGCAGTGAAGTATGGCCACTGAGCCGCTGATATATTTATCCACCCTTATAAACTCCCATCGGGCAAAGTGGATCTCTACTGGGTGTCTTGAGCAGATGCCAATCAACCGGAGTGGACCGTAGTGCCAATTCTTCCTCTATGTATGGAGTGAGAGGACTGTGCGACACCTCAGACCTAGGACGTCGCACCTAGATGATCATCCACACTCTACCTTGGAGAACCGAATAGCACTTGCTGGTATGAGCGTTCTTCAAACTTGATCCACGATCCTCTTCGATTCTTCAGGTTGGTCTGTTCGAATATTTTTTGTAGGACAAGTTGTAAAATAATGATATGAGCTCAGTCTACTGTACATGTCTAGTTGTTTTCTGCATCTGGGACATCACGTTTCAGAACTTGTTTGTCAGTCTTAACGCTCAAGTACTGCATTTTGTTTCTTTCCCGTAAGATTCTCTCTAAGCCTCGTCCTTGAAACTAACAAGGAGGTGTTCCAATATCTTATTAGGAACGAAATTATGAATCAGTCCTCTGGTGGAGAAAGATGGACTCAGAGTTCTCCAGGCTTTTGTTGTGAATCAGGCAGGCTTCTGTTTGTCCGGACAGGCCGACCTGTTGTTTCTGCTTATACTTAAAGTTATTTGTCCGTGACACTCCTGTCCTTGGACTGTTCATCCTTAGACAGGGATGATATTCTGTACATGAAAAGGGTTTCACTTTCAAGAGAGGGGACTTCACTCCCTGTTCACTTCCAGCTGCACGAGCACGCCTCTATTTTCGCCCATTATTTTTTCTTGTATGGATTATTTTTCGCCGATGTTTCTGCTCCGTTATCTGCTTGCACTCGTTTAAGTCAAGCTTCAGTTCCTACCTTAAACTCCTTTGGAAACAAGGCGGTTCAGACTTTACGAAAGAATGTTCTCAATAGTTCTTGCGTGCAAGACCATATTGAGACGATATTGAGAGCCGGCTGAGTGTTGGTACTACTCAGCAGCACACTGGTTATGTTTGAAGGGGACAAGTTCTACATACGTTTCCCAAGACAGAAAGAGCTTTCCTTGGCAAGAGTCGACACTAGCAAGATTGATCATACGAAACTCTTGGGGTCAACCAAGAGATTCTTCAAAAAGTTTTATTCCTAGATTCTCCCAGATTATCTAGTCGAAAAGGTATGATTTAAAATATTTACTGCAAAGGCCTACACGAACTTGCAACCAATGACTGAAAGAGCTTTCCTTGGCAAGAGTCGACACTAGCAAGATTGATCATACGAAACTCTTGGGGTCAACCAAGAGATTCTTCAAAAAATTTAATTCCTAGATTCTCCCAGATTATCTAGTCGAAAAGGTATGATTTAAAATATTTACTGCAAAGGCCTACACGAATTTGCAACCAATGACTGAAAGAGCTTTCCTTGGCAAGAGTCGACACTAGCAAGATTGATCATACGAAACCCTTGGGGTCAACTAAGGGATTCTTCAAAAAGTTCTATTTCTAGATTCTCCCAGATTATCTAGTCGAAAAGGTATGATTTAAAATATTTACTGCATAGGCCTACACGAATTTGCAACCAATGCAGTTTAATTTCTTGTGGGGGAGAGGTTATGTCGCACCTGTTGAAAGCTATCTTTAACCTCTGCTTGGTCTTCATGGACCACATTTCATCTTGTCACGCAAGGATCATAGTTTAAAATATTGACAGGTTCAACACTTCGAAGCTTCAAGTACGCCTCACAATATGAATAGACGGATCACATGTCTGTACGGCTCGTGTAATAATGTAAATCGAGGAGAGACGATGAACAGAGTGGTAAAGATCGACAGTACGATACATTTCATTTGCAACAAGACAAATACTATCATCATATCTGTGTTAAGAACTCTTATCTAAGCGCTGAATATCTTGACTCTGAACCGCTTGTTACTTTGTCTGTCATATAACTATTGGGGCTCACCTCTTGATTTATGTTTTTTTTCTTCTTCTTGGAACCGCTTTACAGGGTCTTCCAGTTTTTCCTGCACTAGCCCTTGTGTCTGGTTATTAGGTCAAGACTATTTACCTTTCTCGCGTCATTTCTTTTCTTCATGTTTTATTATTACGTTTTGTTCTACCTAGATAGTGAGCTCTCCCTTGACCTGTTCCATGGTCTCCTAACTCTGATTCTATTAGCTCTCAGGCTCAAAATGATTCTCTGTTCTCTCTCTCTCTCCTTTACCCATTCCATTTGTTTTTTCTTCATGCAGGTAGGTAGCTTTTCTCTATGTATGTAACTCTATTCTTGTGAAAAACTTTAAAATCTGTCTCTCAGTTCTACACCAAGGGTTCAAATAAATAAACGGAAAAAAAGGCAAACCAAAGGTGGTTTTGTACGATCATAATCAAGACCATTATAAACACTATCAATATGTATTAAGAAAAGCTAAATCTTATCTCGAGTAGTGAATGTTGATTTTCTGGACTCACTCCACCATGGTTGTAAGATAGGGGCTAATTTCTCCCATTTTCTAAGTGGCTTGAATTTTAACTCAACTTGACTTCATAAAATATCGATAGCAGATAATCCAATAGTCATCACTTGGTTAATTATGTTGCTTGGAGATCCTTAAATGCGTTGATGATTATACCCATTTCGTCTCCTTTAGGGTCAAATGAAAGCCTTCAAAGAAAATTTAATGGGATTATGAATTAGTACTCAATTGGACATATAAAGCTTACAAGAAGTTTTCTTATTTGGTGTTTGTATTCGCTCATTAAGTGTGGAAAACTTTCAATTTCATTTGCTTCGTCACGACTTTGATGACGTAAATGATGACAAGGTAGTATCTTACTATTGACAATCAGATTTTTCATTCAGTACGGAGTGGAATCTTGAATATTTATAATTGTGAAATTTTTACTTGTGCCTAGAGATAAATGAGTCAAAATAGTCACAATTATGATAAAGTTTGAAAAAACATAGAAATGTTCTTGAAATATCATATGGAAAATTTTTATTTTTTTTGAATAACGATCAAGACTAAAGCTTTATGACATGAAGTTAGTACTTATTTTGATTTCACACTCCTATTTTACACCTATTTATTGATTTTTCAAAACAATGTGTAAAAACTTTGAACTAAAGGCAATATTGATATGATCATATGGAAGGTAGACTAGTTTCTACAAGATCTAGATGTTTTGGAGATATAATGCATGTATAATTTTTAATAGATGTATACATGCATTATATGCATTATATAATATTTCATTGAAGTTTTTTTTTATCATATTTTAAGATGAAATATGATGTGATTAATCTTACTTTCTGACTGAAAACAGGTAAATTAAAAAAAAGATGTTAACATTAATGTAAATTTAGATAAAGCTACTTTTCAAACACCTTTCTGAGAATGAAGCCTCTGTGCAATAAAATCTTAAATCTATTCTCGAATCTAGTATGTCCTACTTTTGAATGATGTTTAAACATGCGTGAAACCTGCAATCATGAAAATCGACATTGAAGATATTTTTAAAATTTGCACCATAAAATTCAAGTATATAATTCCAGATTCATAATCCGCTTTGAATCTACTCACATAGATCTGACTAAAAGTGTACCTTGGTAACATAAATATTACACATTAAACATAAACATAATTTAAGGCATACCATATTAGTAACTCATTGAAAGAATAGAATGAATCTTGTCTTTTTGACATCTTGAGTATATGCATGCATGCTTGTTTATCGGATGATGATGATTTAGAGTTGATACAACATCGAGAGTTAGCACATTTGAATGGGATAGTGCTTTTTCATCTCAGGCATTGAGCTAATAGACTGCTTGATTGTTGCTTGTACATCCAAAATAATAAGATGGTGTTGAAAATACTTCTACACTTCTTTGGAATAGCATGATGACATTTTACCAAGAAACATGATCAAATCTTTGAATATGAATAATATCACCGTTTGTGTTGTATAGTTCCATATAAGAAGCATAATTGTTCACAATATCTCATGAGAATTTATTATATTTTAGATTGAAGATGATAGAAAGGTGAAAGATGATGTAATAGTTTTTAACACAGTTGTCACAACATTGATAATTCATGTTTGATGTGAACTTACATACAGTACTTTACATTCAGTATTATTTAAAAGCAATGAGCTATAAAGTTTTCAAGTGAATGCATTTTTCATTCAAAAATTTAAAAATTTATCACTGTATGGTGATTTTTAGTTTTTCCAGCATATTTTTAAAAAATTAATGAAGACATCACAAACCAACTTTGTTCATACGTGTTTACATGCAACTTCTGTTACATACGTCCAAAAAACATTTGTTGTTAAAACTCACTTGCATAAACATTTAAAGATTGTACTATTTATCAAACAATATAAAAATCAAACTGCACTACTATTTTAGTTATTCAAGAAAAGAAATTATCAGTAAAATTTGGTGAGATAAATTATCAGTATTATTTATAGTAAGTTATTTGAAATAAAAATATAAATAATTCAAAAAATTTCTTGATGAAGATGTTATCTTGAAGAATTATATCAACTTATTACTAGAAAATAAATTGGCCGTAAGGTGAAAAGAAGCATAAACATATTTGGATTCAAGAGAAAATATTTAGAAAATAAAACAAAAGTAAGAATACATTAGCTAACATATCAACATTCCATGAATCATTATTATTTTGACATCTATTTTTTTTATTATATAGAGAATTTTTTCAAAAGATTGTGGATGTTTATCGTTGTAATTGATGTGATGTCTGCTATTTATGTAGGTGACAAATCATCTCCGGAATTATATGGAAGCTGAATCCAGCCTTGTGATTAATTAAATGAGTTCATTTGTTGGAATCATAAACTGAATTTGAGTATTTCTATTTATAAGATTATAGTGGTACATGCGCATGTATTGTATCTTAATGAACAAAAGTTTGACAAATTATTAATTTTCCTCGTAGGTGCAAGAACAACCGCACAAAATGGTGATTTCTAATGATACACCCATGAAAGTTGAATACACCTCTCATGAAATACAGTACATTCACACAACTCAAACATGTATATCTGATTTTTATCAAATTTTATCCTGAAGATATAACGAAATATGAAAAATTATGAACAATTTTATATATGAAACATTCAAGATTCCGGACGGTTACTTTTTTTTTAATTTAATCTCAGACATCCATAATTGTCGTGGATGTCAATAAACATGAGAAAGTACTCATGAAGTTTGTAATTGCAGTTACATGACTTCTCTGCTTATATCTGGATCTTGTATGAATTATAATCTATGTCACCAATTTGTACTTTGTTTTCAAAAGTCCAAAGTTGATTTAAAACCCAAGTACTCTTAAGGAACAAACGGCTATACGAATAGTACCGAGTAGAGAGGGGAATATAGCAATCACTGGACCAGAGAAAAATAATAAAATACATAATAAATTAGTGGTTACTTGTCGTGCAACTCAGTATCGCCATACATCATACATCGCTGACATGCTCTACTCACAACTCACACATACATACACAAGGAACGAGAGTGTCCACACACAAAGGTATCACAACTCGCCCCCCTAGCTGGCGGTCAGGTCCCTCTGACTCCCAGGTAGCCCTATCTACAACTACATGTTATGCACCTTCGTGGGTGCGCGAACCAGTAGGCCGGGTGCTATGTCGCCCCATCGTTAGTCGCCTATCTGCAATTCATAACATGTGAAGATCAAGTCATCTACCCTCTGAAGTACATCGAGGACAAACCCACCGTCTAGTAGGAACAACATCGATAGGTGGAGTCAAGCACGACATGTGCCATCCCCTAGAACACCTATCACACACCAACATATGGGCCGCCTGATCAGTTGACCCACATAACATGCACCTCAAGCCGGCACGTACAATCGCCAAGCTTGGGTCCATAGTACCATCCACGTTTGGGAGGTGGCATGGCGCACAGTTGCGCACATGATCCTTCCAAACGACACCGTCACGACCCTCCAACATGAGAACTCCAGAAGGTAACACCTCTCGCACTCGCAGGATAGTGCGTCCTGCCGTCACATCCAACGTAGTCGGTGCAGTCTGCTGTAGGTAGACGTAGTCTCCCACGCGGAACCTACGAATCGATGGTCGATAACCTCCTCCTCGAATAGTTGCATACCGCAACGTATCTCGGTGCTGAGCAATCGCAAGGTTCTCAAACGCTGCAGGCATAAC